AACCAAGCGATATTTCAGACGAGATGGATTCCAAGGAAATATATAGAGTCGTCAAACATTTGAGTTGCCACACGGCCGTGCTGGATTTATGTCACCCAACCCAGATAGAGGTGTGGACTGAAGAAGTCTTTGATGGTCTGCGGAAGTTCATGGGAAAACTCGTTGGTGATTATTGGACATTATTGTGCTTCGTTCCGCGGTCTTGCGAGTATACATTTTTCAAGCGAGTTACAAGTTGGGAGATTGACATTCACTTGTCTATTCTAAAGTGGACTCGTCAACTACAAACGAAGGCGAAGCATTTATATAAGGTTTGCGAACTTGCGTTTGGAGGAGACAGACAGAATGGTTGTCATCATGTACTCCAACGATGGGGATTATCACCGCAACACTATTCCCTTGCTTGAAGACATTCCAGCAAGCACTCCAGCTGCAGATCGATCATCTGGCGAGCAGGCGGGTGACTTATCAGCACTTGTGCGCAGAGAGAGAAGGCCAAAGATGTTGGCTGATGTCGTGGAGAAGAACTTCACGCCCACGAAGTTGAAAATGGCAGGTATGGAGCCAAGGGATAAATTAGTGTACGAAGGTATGGAAATGGAGCCAAATGCGATGGTGGAGACATTGGAGCATTTTTGTCCTGCGGATGAGGCTGTTGTTTTCTTGGGAAAAGGCCATGCGACGTTGATTTGGGAGTTGTTAAAGAGTCACCGTCATTGCATTGTTCTGGAAGGGGAGGGTATGAAGTTCGAGTTTCTCGTTCAATTCGTCACCAAGATGGTCAAGAGTGGACTTTACCTCGCCAAATTTGTTAAGACGCCTCCTCGACATGATGAAAAGCGTGATCTCGTCTACAAAGTCGGCAAAAACATCGTCAACATTTGGGAGTTCCTTTTCGAGACTAAGCCAGAAAACAGAAGGGAACGTGCATATGTCGTCAGAAGGCGAAAAATGAAATCACTTCTGAGGGGGTATCATAAGGCACCGGCAGAGAGGGAAGTTGCATTTCTAGACCGTTTAGAGATGATGTACTTCGACGAAGAAATCGGGGCATTTACAATCGCAGCTTATGCAACTTGTTTTGGGGAAGGCTTCGATGTTGAGGACTCAGAGGAAGAAAGTGAAGATGGTACTTTGCAAGCGGCTTTGGCAGATGAGAGGCAAAAAGCTTGTAGCTCGGCTTCGCAGAAGATGGGTGCGCCGGGCACATCGTCCGGTTCTTGGGGGGCTTCGAGTATGGCAGTTACAACGGACCAGTTTCAACGGACCAGTTATATGGCGGGCAACACAACAGCGCTATCTTCCGGCGCAGTTCGGGATGATCCGAGGCTGCAGGCAATTCTCTCCCCAGAGGTTATGGCAAGTCTGTCAGCACTTGCACATAGCCCGGCTACTGTTTTGGAATTGCTACGCTCTCAAACTCCTCAACCACCTCCGTTTGAGCCCTTGGAGTACGAGATTGAAGACATCATCCCTCCGGACATTGCACGGCTTCCTGGACCTATTGTGTGTCGGGACGATTATACGGTGATGCCTGACAACGTATGGGGTCATCACATTATATGGCACTCCCACCACTTCCAACCTGCATTGGTGAGAGGGAACTGGGTAATGGCTATAAAAGAAGAAGGGGAGTGGCAATTTTGCCTCCACAGACGCATGTCATGATCCAAGTTTGTCGCACACGCCAAAAATGAGATTGGCAAGGGACTACTGCGACTTAATCCGAAGGTTTCTCAATCAAGACTGGATGCAAGGACAGAAGAAATCTTTGAGGAGTTCAAAACATCTCGATGGCTTGAGTATCTGGAAGAGTTCTATGATCGAGAAACAAGTCCAGCTTTTGGATATAATTGGCGTATCGAAGAGGAAGTTGAAGACAAAGTTGGGGAAAGGAAAGGAGCGAGCGGCGATGAGAGTGGCAAGGGATCAGGATCAGGCGGCTGTGCGCTTGGCAAGGGAACAAGATCAAGTGGTGGTGAACATGGTAAGGGATCGGAACCACGGGGCGGTGCCAGTGGCAAGGGCCTGGGACCGAGCGCCGGTGCAAGTGGAAAGCCAATAAGTCATGGTGAACTGCAAAAACACGAAATGTGTCAAGGGCGTCAAGCAACAGAGGGAAAGGTATCAGGACCAAGCGGCGGTGCACATGACGAGGGATCGGGTTCGCCTATGGGATTAGGACCAAGCAGCGGTGCACATTGCAGGGGACCGGGTTCGCCTCTGGGATTAGGACCAAGCGGCAGTGCACATGGCACGGGATTGAGAGGCGATGCAAGTGGCCAGGATTTGGGAGGAAGCGACGGTGCAAGCGTCAAGGGCGTAAGTCATGGAGAACTGCCGAAATGTGTCGAGGACGTCCTTCCGGATGACCAAGTTTGGGCGACCACTATGTTGGCGAGCGAGAGTGTTACTGCACAAGTGGATAATACTGGTGCACTTGCAGAATTAGAGATGCCATTGGATATGCCAGCTGAGAAAGATGAACATGAAGTCTCTCTGGACATGAAGAATGAAAGCGCGACTGCAGGTGCAAACGAAACTGCCAATGTACAGGCCATCGAAGAGGATGAAGGACATATAGTACTAAGTACACGGGAGCAACATACGCTTGTACAGCCTGAACTTATGGTTGCAAAATCAGAAGCACAACAGTCTGCTAACCTCGTGATATCTATCGACGAATCTCCTTTTACACCATCTCATGATGCGATAGAAGATCGTGTTGAAGACAAAGTGTTAGTGAGTCACCGAGGTGAGCACGTACTTATCTCTAAGGAAATATCTAATATTGTATGCGGATTAGGGGGTACATGCACTAATCTCATAGGAACTAATTTTTTGTCTAAGTTTGCAACCGTGCGCTCGGTCATGAGAAGAAATGAAGTAGAATATTGTGTATCTCTTATTTGCAATTATGTGGAAAATTGAACTTAAACTCATAATGTTTTGTCTTGTCAATTATTGTCGTTTTATATTGCTGAACATGCAGGGCAACGAAAAGAACTGTGAAAAACGACGCACGTACATTCGTAAAGGCAGAGTGAGAAGAATATTATTCGTCGTGGCTTGCAAGCCTTATCAACTTTGTTGTTATTGCCCAAAAAAGAGAGAAGAAGACTTACACCCATGACATTTTCATCTATGAAGTCAGTTGCCCTAAGGATGTTTAAAGTTGTTGGAATAAGCCTCAGGGAAGGGAAGAAATTGCATCGCGAAGGTTGCAGTTTATCTATTGTGGATGGCAGCTCTGATAGCAAAACAGATAAACAACCAAAAACATGAACTCGGGTCTACGTCGTACATCACATAACGAAAAGTTTGTTTTTGCATGAAGTCTTAGTCGTTTCATTGTTGTTTATATGTGTGTTTGTATGTACTGCATGACCCTTCGTTCCAGATTCCTTTAGCAACAAAATGCCTCACCGTAGAAGAAAAGGAGTATCTTGACATGATTACAGGCAGCAGCGAAGACAATGAAGCATACGACATTGTCGATTACAAGGGGAGCTGGAAGGTGGGAAAGG